GTGCACACCCGGGTGTTGACCCGGGTGTGCACATATCTTTATCCAATTCAGAAATAGTAGATAAATTCTGAAATCTTGGATGAGTAGGTACATCAAGCTTATAGTGTTGCAACTCATATTTTAGACAAATCTTTTCTTGATCTGAAAAATCTAAAGGATAACACTTCTCCACAAGTTTGTATATGTCATCAATACTGAATGATTCATAGTCATTGTGAGGATCCAAAGCTGAGCTCAAAGTAAGAAGTTCTGTAGCTTACTCATTGAACCTACAATTCAGTTCTTTTAATTGATAATCTAACACACTTGTAAATATATCCACTCGATAGTGATGCTCAACTGTTACATCATTCTTTTTGCGACGAGAACGAATTATGTCACAAAAAGAAGCACTCATATCAGGAATTTGGATGGAATGAGACTAACAAAAAGAAGTCACATCATGTAAAAGAGTATCCCAACCACTATTTCTTAGATCTTGAAGCAAAAATTTTGTGCTAGATACTAAACCCATAGCATTTAAAATATCTTGATTTTTTTGTTGCAAAGCTTGGCAAAGTTTATCAATAATTCCCATGATTTCCTTCATCAAATGTAAAATGAAGACAAAGTCAAATGATGGCAATGCCTTAAGAGCAAAAGTAGCATCACCTCGTTGAGGGTATGTGGATCTTTCAACAGCCACATTTTCAAGAACTGAGGTAGTTGGAGTAAACATTCGTAAAAGGCTACATATTGACTTAAAATGAGAACTCTATCTTGTGTCTGCTAGTCTTTCTAAAGTGCCCAACTGATTGGCTCCTCTTCCTATTTCAATCTCATTAATTTCAACCAAACGAGCAATTTCAAGTGCATATGTAGCTTGCAACTCATCATGACACTTGCAAGAAGAACTAACAATGTTAATTATAGAAGTCAAAATCTGAAAAAAAAAAAAAAAAAAAAAAAGCATGAACATCAGGTGCTTCTCTATTTGTAGCAATAAGAGCTAATTGTAATTGATGAGCTAAGCAATGCACATAATAAACATAAGAACAT